GGTGATCCACGGGTACCAATACCGTGGCGGATAATGGTGTGCTTGTTTGTTTCGTTATGGACCTGGTCAAAAAAGAGTAAAAACAGAAAAAGAGGGAATAAGAAAAATTTGAGATATAAACTTTAACACTTACTTTTATTTAAGTATATAATAGGAGTACACGGCGAACCAGTGTAGAACGAGGCGAGTGACGTCTGATTTGAAATGTACCGCGGTTGTGAAAGACAAAGTGATAGTAGAGGCGAATTTTAACTGTTCAGTCGACCGTTTGAGCGTGAAAAACAAAATTAACCGCCTCTTCCGGGGCCTCCAGGCTTTTTTATAGGGAGTGGTAGACCTCGGTCATGTGCTGGTTCGATAACAACGCAGGAAAGCTTGCCGAGAGAAAATCTTGCAAAAATGACAATAGCCGAAAATCCCATTGGCTAGAACTGTTCTAGTTTAGCCACTGAGAAATTGGCCCTTCCCACATCCGATTTACTCTCCTCTTGGCGCTAAGAGAAGGTAAGGTGATTTACTTGTTTATGCCCTTCCTTTCATTTTTACATACAAGTTTGACAGGATTTCAACATGACTTAACGTTAATTTGAAAACAGATTATTATTAATATTTAGTAATGCTAACCGCCAGTCGTCTGTTCAACTGAACTCGTTGCAAAAAAAGCGGTAAAAATCGCTTAACAATTCAATTAATGCTACGGTAAATTAACGATCGGTGTGTTACGATTTATCAGTTAATAATACTACTTAAACGCCAAAACGGTGGCTGCTGCCGTAATAAATTATAATTATAATATCAGTAGTGGTAGTTATAATATTAACAATAATAGTAATAATTATAATAATTATAATTGTAGTAATAATAATAAGAATAGCAGTTGTTAGAATACTGATGAGAATAATNTTATGATAATAATAATAATAATAATAATAATAGTAACTATGATAATAATTATAGTACTCATAATAAGAATAGTGGTTGTTGGAATAATGATGAGAATAATAGTGCTTTGCCAGTCGCAAGTTAACATAATTAGGTTTACTGGTAGTTTTGGATGTTTATAATGTTGCAAAAATAATACGGAATTTTTGTAGAACTTTAGTCAACATGTTTTTCTGCTGCTAGTCGTTGGAGAGGGAGTGGTCTCGTGGTACCTTAGGGAATCAGAAACTCCGTTACCTCTATTGGAGGCAGGCGTATAGACTCTCTCTCTCTCTCTCTCTTTCTCGACATCTCCGAGTCAAGAAAAGGAGAAATGTTAACTCTCCGTTTTCCTTCACACTTGGAAAAAAGGGTTAGCAATTGAATATATTATAAATTAGACTATTGCAGTATGTTCATGAAATTAATAATGTGATACAAAAAAGGTTACTTGGTAAATCATGTGCTTGCAAACTTGAATGAAAAAAATTGGGTAATCCCTTGAAAGTTAATAAAGTTGTTTACAAGGCTTGTCGTAGTTAATATGTCGTGTAGTTGTTTGCTAGTGTCGTAGTGTGTACTGGTTGCTTGTGATGATTCTGGCTTTTACTTATATTTCCACTTATTTGCATGTATGAATTCTGAACTATCCTAATATTTAACTTTATGTTCTTTAATCCTAATCTAAAATTATGTTCGCCTTTAATATTACCGTTCAGTTCAACTATTTCCAGTTGAACTTTTGCATCTATGGTTGTCAAAAAATATTTTGTTTTTCATTTTCGGTCAGATAGGCCTGCGTGCATGTACATGAATCATTATTGTACTGCAGGTACGAGTAACTTGCAGGTGATTCACCTCTTTTTACATGCACGCTGGTCCTTGCTTAAGTGCTTTCAAAACAACATTCCTACAGAGTAGGCAGGGAAAAAAGAATTTGTTGGTAATTAGGTCTACCGACATTACACAGTTAACAGTCGAATATGAAATCAACAATTTAACTCCCTTCTAAGATATCTACATTGCACGAATAATGAATTCCATTAGTATAATAGATTTATATAAACCAGTGGACAGTAGGTGCTTGGGTACTAAGGTATGAAGCTACCCTTTTATAAAACTATATGGCAAACAAAACAATTATGAGTAGAAAAATGTCTTCTATGAAACCATTTTGCGCTTTTATTGAATCTTTTGATGGTTTAAAAACAATTTTAAGATTACATCTGTAATATCACGCTCATATTTATCACATACGCTCCCACACTTATGACTAGTCCATATTTAATACCTAAAATATCATTGTATCTAGAAAATTCAGAAAAACCATTCTGTAGTATCACTTTCTTTAATAGGATAGTTTTACATACCAGTGAATGCCACTTCAGGACGTTTATCACACATAAATTTTTTTGATAGATATTATTTAAATGTAAAATTATTTGTAATGAAATAAAATTAAAAAATAACTTACTCCGTAAAATGATTTTTTTTTTAAATGTTTTTTTAGAAAACTTAGAAATTAGTGTATATTATCAGAGCAGATTTCTAATGTATTAATAAATATTTATTTCTATAAAGTTAACCTGTTACATTATCTCGTTGACCACTGTCACTGCCATTAATCCTTATCTTGGGGATAAATTTAATTTTCCCGGGTCTTGTTTTCTTTTTTTAATGGAGAGGTTAGGAGTCTTCTTCAGACCTTCTGGGCTCCTGTTTTGCTTGCCTGTCAGCACGTTTTACATAAATCTAGAATAAATAGAGCATGTGGTTCTCACCCTTTTATCTGATCCATACGTCTTTTGCATCAGACTATCATCAGCTTGTTCTAGGAGGTTTTCTATCTTCTTTCTTGACCCTTTACGGAAGTCCTTAAACTTATGCAGAAAGTTCAATGCTATGTTTATACCATTTTTTATCAGCGTTGCTGTTTTTATGTACGTCTTTGTTGCTGCTTCTCCCTTATCTTTGATTATTTCCTCGAGTTCAGTAATTACAATATCCCCGATAACTGCTTCATAGTTCATTCTGATCTTAAGTTCCTGGTTTATTTCTGATCCATTTCGGTATTATTGCTGAAAAAACCAGCAGTACTGACGTCACTTGCTCCGCTCTACTATTACAGGCTTAGCAGCCTGTCACATCCATGGCTGGGCAGAAATGTGAAGCTCTTCTGTACGTGTTTTTTTATCGGAGGTTGTCTCCTCGTTTTTATTTCTGACGCCTTTGTGGCCTCCCCCATAATCGGTGAGGCCAACACTAGTCACCCGGGTTCTCACCAGGTTGGAACTGGTAGCGGATTCTCTCAGAGATGTTATCGCATGGGGTACTAAGTTTTCATCAGTGTCGCCCATCGTAGGTTTTATTCGAGAACCTACCCTAGGTTTTTTATGAGGTGTTTTGGTCGGCGTTTTGGTCCACGGGAAGTATTTTATTTCGTTCCAATTACCTACGGGCACAAGTTCCGAATACCGTAGAAACCCAGAACCACACACCCGCGGAAGTTCTCTATCTGTCACCCGGAGGAGCGCGTCCCAGAGGCTGAGTGCCTTAGCCCTGGGATTATTATTATTCTTATTCTCATTCTTATTTTATTCTTTCTGTCTCTATTATCGTTATCATTATTTTCATTTTTATTATTTTTATTAGTACTATTATAAGTATTATTATTACTATTATAAGTATTGTAAATATTATTATNTTATTATTATTATTATTATTATTATTACTACTACTATTACACAAATGCATACACCAAACCTAAGCGATGTGTTTGGTTATAGCACGCATTGGTTGAACAATTTTGTTACGGAAGTGTACAATACAATTTCTTTTTAATTAACTTTCATTGGCTTATGCCTTGAAAAACGATGTGATTTATGATACAGAAATTGAGATTTTCTGTGTGATTACAATAAACTTATCTACTCATCATTTCTTTCCTATTTATTTTTTATCAAAAAGAACAGTGCCATGATACCTCATACTGAGAAATATCTACCGTTTTAACTAAACATACGACGTGATTTAATAGTAATACTGATGTTTTGAAAAATGCTAACACTATAGTACGCCCTGTTAAGGCATTTCTTTTCTCTTATACTCTTATCGTGATGGCACACAGATTGCTGTACTAAAAGTTTTTGAAGTCCACAAGAGTATAAAATTTATTTATAAGACAATGTCACTATCAATTCGCTTTTTACACTTAGCTTACACTTAAAATTTTTCTACTTGAACGTTTTCATGCATTTTGTTGTTATAAGTTACAACTTTAAAATATACTGTTAACGTACAACTCCTAAATCAATAAAATACATACTAAATCTTACTTTAAAATATTTTATAAAGTAAAGATAACTTCGACTTTACTAAAATATGCTTAACAAATAATATTTTATGAAAAGTGTTTTATATTACACATTTGTTACTTGTATGACTCACTGGTACTGTGACTGTAGTAGACAAGCCATGTAAAAACCACAGGGCTTACTCCTGATTTGGCCTTGATTTGAACTACTAGTGCCATTATCGCTAAAACGGCTTGGTAAGTTTAGTTAAAACTTTAGAAGACTTTCTTTTAGTGTAGTTTTTATACTTCTGAAGTATGGCCTCCAATAGTTTTTTGTAACCTAAAAAATTAAGAGTAGTACTAAAGGGTTGTTATGTAACAAGTACAGATAAACCAAGTAAATCATCGCAATAGCTTAAGGCTGTTCCAAAGATATAGTTTTAAAAGTGTTCTTGGACTTGTACTACTCCAGCGCTAGCCTAATTCTAGAATATTTTATTGGGACTATATTAATTACTAACATTGAAGAATACAATAAAATAAAGTTTCTTTCAAAGAAAAAAATTTGTTTAGTAATAGACAGTATAATAAATTAACATCACTTTTTAAGGATTTTTAGAATTTCATTTCGAAATTAGACTTGTGCTCATAATTATGTTATATACATTTTCAAGTCTTTTATTAAAATTGATAATAGCGCCATGGTTTTTAATGTTCTAAAATAATTTTTTTACTAGTAAAAAGTATTTAAATGTTGAGTATAACTTTTTTGTTTTTTTTACAGAAGAAATGCACAAGTTCATTGCTGAACAGCTAAATACGTCGAGAGTACCTTTATGTATAAATCCACAGTCGGCTGCATTTAAAAGTTTTGCAAGATGAAATTTTATGGACTATTTTCATATTTTGACGATGTAATACTACTTATCAAAGATGTAAAAAATTTAAATCACTTTTTTTTGTTCATAAATACAGTATAAGAAACTGCGACATGGAGAACACAAGATACGGTAATTTTTCAAAAAGTAAGAATAAGTGAAAACTCCTCACTGAATACCAATCAACAAGTGATCAAGTACTCTGCACTTATAAGTTATAATTGTTCGTGATTAGGAAATATTAAATGATTGGTATATTATTTTGCAAAGTACTACAATTTCGATTTTAGGAAGAAGAGAACTATAAAGAAAAATAATCTTAAACGATAACTTAGTCATCGCCTTAATAGTTTAAAAAATCATGGTATCAAACTGTCGACTACGATTCATATGCAAAATAACGTACATAGAGACTATTTATTAATAAACTAGGTTTTATAAAATTTTTTATGTGTCAATATGTCAGTTAAATGATTACTACTTTTTTCTTTGCTCCCAAAATTATCACCAATTTTCTTAATACATATTATATTAAGCCAGAAAAAACGAAAGTATGGTATTCTCATTCAGGTGTTTATAATTTTCATCCGAGTTGAAAGCAAGGTAAGGAAAGATCTAATAGTCAATTCCATACTTTTTTGTGTATAGCGTTAATTACTTTTCACTTTTTTCCTTTAAAATACAAAGTTTTTCCGACGATTTCAGGGTCAAGAGCGCAACATTACCTTCTGGGCAAAAGCTGGCATTCTCTTATTATAAAAAAGTAGTTTTGCCATAATCTGCACATTTGTTACCTTTTTCTAAGGCTTTGGAAGCAATTCCCAAGCAGATTTTATTAAAATACTTTGGAAAAAGCAGGGAATGAGAGTTTTTACTTAGGATAAATTTGGTTCCTTCGTTCCTAGAATCAGGGAAGAAAAGTAGTCTTTTAGCGGAGTATGGTAAAAAAACAACGAATTCAAAAATACACTTAGTTCATATAAAATCATCAATTTTCACTTACTTTCTTTAACTATAAAAGAGTTTAGGACAGTTATTCATAAAAAAAAAATAAATAAATAAATAAATANTCTATGTACTGTTGAGTTTTAAGATCTACTTTAGCTTGACAACATTATATTTAGATTATAATTATAAATGAACTCACCATAGATTCAAGTATTGTAAACATTGTAAAACAGCTTCCAGAACAAATTAAGTGAGACAATTACGATAAACTACAGCTAGATTTTGTTTGCATTTAGTATGTGGTTGTATGAACATTGTTTAATTTACTTTACTTGTATTGAATAAAAACGTTATAATGATATTTTTTTTAAAAACTATTATATTATTATAGAATTTATCTTGTTATAAATGTAAAAGGTCTAGTAAAGTCGCCGTGGTACATTAAAAGATTTCTGAGAACTTTCGGGATCTTTATACTGTTGCAATACATATTGTTTTTTTAAATAAATTGTTTGCTTTGCAAAGCAGTGAGATGAAAGTCAAAAAAGGGTGAAATTATAGTTTATTTTAGCACAGTGGTGGCATGCCATACGTAGGAAGATGTGTAAAACTGTGACTATTTATTATATTGACGAAAGTGCCTTGAAATAATTAAATTTGCTTCCCACTTTAAGATAGAACAGTGTGAATAACTCGACACACAATGATACACATCGATGCTGCTACATATAGGAAGAGTGGTTTGATATATACACTAGTGGGGCTCCGTTTTCTTGCTCACTTCGAGCCCCAACCCTCCACTACTAAAACAGGTTTATTATACTGTGTTACGTGAGTTTTGCGGTGCGGGAATGAATAATAGGCCTACTTGTTGTAATTTATGCTTTATAAGAATTACTTATATTCGAGGGAAGTTGCGCGTGTATTCTAATCTCACGGGCCCGGTCTTTCCTAGCTGATTTTTCTTCCACTCAATTGCTTCGTCCCCCTTTCTATGCCTTCAATTATCGATTCCCCTACCTTTTTGGGCCCAGGCCAGCGGGAGCGGACGCACGCATAGCTATACATATATTTCTATATATATTGTAAACATTATGTACTTAATTTATGTAATAACCTTTGAAGCCGTACGTGGTTACATTACAAGGTCTCAATAAAGTCTTACATACATAGATACATACATACTATCGTACGAGACACATCTAAGGCCGCGACGCCGACGTCCTCGGCGGCGATTTCCTTCTTGATTGGTATATTTATAATAGAGTAGTATTTGTGTTGTATAGTTTTTTCGGTTAAAGGGAAGAGGGTGGTTTCAAGTGCCCTGTCCCTATTTTTTCTAATGGTTTATTTCGCTGTATTGTATGTGTACACTTTTTTGTTTATGTCTGCGCGTTCCCCTTATAAAAAAAAATTTGTTTCCAGATTTTCTTAGTTACTTATGGTATTCAATTGCTAACATATATTTTCCTTATTTTTTCTATATTTGTTTACACATAAGCTGTATAATGAGTTTGCACTGATTTATAAGCAACCGCTTCACACTATTATAATTGTTAATTTCATACTTTTTTTTTTTTTGTAGTCTCAGATATCAAGGATCAAGAAATTTACTGCTTGACTTATTTCTAGTGGTATTGTTAGTATCACATCTTATCGCTAAGTCTTATTACAAATGTTGGGTATCTGTCCCAATTATAGACCCTGTCCCTATCGTAGACCCATTATCACATTATTAATGGTAAGTTAAACGAGTGTTTTAATAGCACAATGAATTATTTTTTAAGTTGTTATTTTCTCTCTAATTCACTGCAATAATCACATATAATAGCATTTCAATAATGTTATATCATTAAAATAATATATTAAAAAGTTACACAACGCTTTTGACTATTTTCTTCATCACTACTTGTTGAAAACCGTAAGATACTCATATTTTTGAAATGCTATTTAAAAAATTAGGAGTATTATTTGAACTCAAAAAATTGTTTAATACATCAAGAAGAATTTCAGAAAAAAAATAAAAACAAATTATACTCCTAAAAAGTATATTTGTATACATTATTAGAGGGTCCACAATAGAGTCATGATTATCGGCTCTGTCTCTATTATGGACCCTTTATTCCGCCAGTATTGAGTGCATACATAACCTTCAACTCCATAACTTCGAGCTGTTGTTTTCATTCTAAAAGTAAAGAAAGAACAACGAAAAATGCCTCTTAAAAAACGCACCAAGAAGACGAAACAACCATAACAAAGTCATAAAAAATATAAGATCATTATGATAAAAAAAAGTAATAGTAATTATCACAAAATTAGTTTTATATAAAAATGTGTTCTTAAAAACTTATCTCAAACAGTGCCTAGTCATATATTTTTTTAAAAGTGTGAGAAGTACTTATAAATAAATCTCAAATGTTTATTTAATTACATACAAATATTTTTTTACCTTTTCCTATTTAGTAGATTTCATAGAACAGAGGTCCAAGTTCTAAACAGGGTCCATAATAAGGAGTTCCACATTATGGACAGGGTCCATAATAGGGGGGTCCACATTATGGACAGGGTCCATAATAGGGGGGTCCACATTATGGACAGGGTCCGTAATAGGGGGGTCCACATTATGGACAGGGTCCGTAATAGCGGGGTCCACGATAGGTTCAAAGTCCATCGAGGGGTCCGTAATAGGGACAAAATTTTTTTTTTCTTGTTTCATCATTAAAATAAAAATAAGAAAACTTTTTGATAAAAAAAAATTTGTTTCCAGATTTTCTTAGTTACTTATGGTATTCAATTGCTAACATATATTTTCCTTATTTTTTCTATATTTGTTTACACATAAGCTGTATAATGAGTTTGCACTGATTTATAAGCAACCGCTTCACACTATTATAATTGTTAATTTCATACTTTTTTTTTTTTTGTAGTCTCAGATATCAAGGATCAAGAAATTTACTGCTTGACTTATTTCTAGTGGTATTGTTAGTATCACATCTTATCGCTAAGTCTTATTACAAATGTTGGGTATCTGTCCCAATTATAGACCCTGTCCCTATCGTAGACCCATTATCACATTATTAATGGTAAGTTAAACGAGTGTTTTAATAGCACAATGAATTATTTTTTAAGTTGTTATTTTCTCTCTAATTCACTGCAATAATCACATATAATAGCATTTCAATAATGTTATATCATTAAAATAATATATTAAAAAGTTACACAACGCTTTTGACTATTTTCTTCATCACGCCTTGTTGAAAACCGTAAGAT